ATGGCGGTGGCGGCGATGGTGGAGGTTGTTACGAGGGCGAAGGCGGCGAGGGCAGTGGCGGTGAGGGGGGCGGCGGTGAGGGCGGTGGCGGCGAGGGTGAAGGTGGGAACGAGGGGGGCGGCGGCGAGGGCGGTGGCGATGAGGGTGGAGGTAACGAGGGCGGTGGCGGCGAGGGCGGCGGCGGCGAGGGCGGTGGCGATGAGGGTGGAGGTAACGAGGGCGGCGGCGGCGAGGGCGGCGGCGGCGAGGGCGGTGGCGATGAGGGTGGAGGTAACGAGGGCGGTGGCGGCGAGGGTGGAGGAGGTAACGAGGGCAGCGGCGGCGAGGGCGGCGGCGGCAACGGCGAGGGTATGAGACCCTGGCAGAAGAGCAGCCCGTCTGGCGCAGTCCTCGGAATCAGCTGGCCGAGCTCGTCGGGCCTCTGGCAGTAGTCGTGCTCGTAGAAGATGTCGGTGATGAACGTGCGGACCGCGCAGAACTTGACGTGCATGAAGTCGCGGTTCTGCTCCTCTCTCGACAACCCCAGGCACGCCCTCTCGTACACCGCCTGCGCCTCTGGGTCGGGCGGCAGGAGCAGCGCCTGCACCTCGGGCGGCTGGCGGGCGTAGTGGTCGCACATGTCGATCGGCGCCAGCCACACCGGCCGGAAGTCGGGGTCGTCGCACGCGCACTCGCCGTCGCGCGTGCGTGGCCGCCGCACCGGCCACGAGCTGTTGGGCTGGCCGACCACGGCGTAGAAGGTGCTGACGCTGTCGAGCGCGGTCAACGAGGAGTTAGCCAGCGCGTCGTAGTCGAAGAAGATATTGCAGGGGCACTCCGCCTCCTCGTTGCTCTGCGTGGTCCCGACCGGGCCGATGTCGGTGCCGCACATCAAGGCGCCGTCGCGGGCGAGGCGTGGGTAGAGCTGGAAGCTGTTGGCTTCGTCGGGCACGCAGTACTCCTTGCTGGCGAGGTAGTAGAGGTCGCGCACAAAAGCGGGCGTGGCGCACAGGCGGACGTGGTGGTAGTACTCGTTGACCTGCTCGCCCGGCGCGAAGGCGGCGCAGGCGCGCTCGTACGCCTGCTGCAGCTGCCCCGAGCCGCCAAAGAGTGCTTCTCGCTGCGTCGCGTTGATGCTGTCCACCCAAAAGCACAGGTCGAGGGCGGCGAGCCAGACGGGGCGGTCCTCGGCGCTCTCGCAGGCGCAGCCCCACGCCGGGTCGTACACGGGGAGGCTGAGCGGCCAGGCGGAGCTGGTCTGGAGGGTGTAAAAGAGCGCGTTGGTGTTGTTCAAGAAGGTGAGCGAGCTTGCGAGGCCGCGCTCCAGGTCGTAGTAGGGCGAGCAGACGCAGGGCGGCGGAGGCGGCGAGGGTGGCGGCGGGGTCGGGGGCGGCGGCGAGGGTGGCGGTGGACTCGGGGGCGGCGGGCTTGGGGGCGGGGGCAGCGGCGGCGAGGGTGGAGGTGGTGGTGAGGGCGGCGGCGGTGAGGGCGGTGGCGAGGGTGGCGGAGGTAACGAGGGCGGCGGCGGCGAGGGCGGCGGCGGCGAGGGTGGAGGTGGGCTTGGAGGCGGTGGACTAGGCGATTCGCTCTCTGGTATCTCCAGGATGATGAGCGGCGGCGGGGAGGGCGACCAGCTCACGATAGGGCTTGACTCGTTGTTCAGCCGTCGCACGTGGCGTTTTGTATGAGGTGGAGCAAGGAGCCTTTGCAGCACCCCACTCGACTCCCAGCGAGCCGCCTCTCTCAGCTGCCTCATCACCGCGCCATTCCTCTCCTCCTCCTCCCCCCCATGCTCCCCCGCCCTCTCCTCCTCCCCCGTCAAATCCGCTTGCGTGCAGAAGCGCCAGTCACCAGCCTCCGGCGAGTGCTCGAGGGTCTACCAGACGAGAGGGGGGCGTGAGAGGACGAGGGGCGGGAGGGCTGTTGCAAGGGCGAGGGGCGCACATTAGGAAGCGAGGTCGGGCAGGTCAGGTATGGGCTCTCCCCCATGATGGCGCACTCCGTGCGGTACTCGTTGTCGTGGAAGAAAGGGAAACGGCACGGGCAAGCGGTATAGTCGGCCGAGTCCTCGCACGGCGGGGGCGACGCGGAGCCAACAAGTCCCTTGACGAGGAAGTAGCGCAGCTGATCGTACAGCATGTAGACGGTGCCGTCGTCGCGACTGTGGTACGTCCAAAGCGCCGACCACCGATCGCGGGTGCTCTCGCCAATCTGAAACTCCTCGGGAGCGCAAGTGTTGCACGCCAGCCTGCAGACACGACGAAAGTGCCTCCCGACGACATCCTGGCGTGAGCATGCCGATCTGACCACTTTGAGGTCGCACCGCGGCGGGTCCGGCTGGCCCGCGCACAACGGCTCGGATTGGGACGGTAGGGCAGGTGGCGGAGACGGCATGCGCGGTGGTACGGCGAGCGATGACGAGCCGAATGGCCAGGGAGGAGGAGGCGGCGGCGGCGGAGATGGTGGCGCCGGTGAGGGTGGCGGTGAGAACGGAGACGGTAAGTCTCCGATGACCCGCTGCATGTAGGCGAAATACGCGGTGGGCGTCGGGTCGACAGGATCCAGCAGGCGCGTGTTGGCCGCCTCTAGCGCGTCGCAGAACTCGGAGGTTATGTCGGTGCGGTAGACGGTGTGCGCCTGCAAGTAATGCCTGTTCGCGGTCGGCAGAATGGCCGCACGCACGCGCTCCACCTCCTCACGGCATTCGCGGCCACAGTACTGGGAGTCGAAGTCCAGAAAGGGGTTGACTGGGAGCAGCTGGGTCGCCGTCGTGTCTGTGTCGACGGGCAGCTTGAAATTTCTCACGAGTGTGAAATCGGATGTCACTTGCATGAACCACTCTGTGCTGATGTTCGCCCTGCAGATGTCCCACCACGCCGACTGCCTCGTGTCGCGCACCTCCACCTCCACAGGGACACCGAAACGAGAGGAGTCGTCGCAGATGCCCAAACCGTGTTGGTTGCCGGTGAACCGGAGAGCGCTGGGGCAAAGCCGGAAGTGGTGACCACTCGGACCGGCTGCCGAAAACGATCGCGTCACCTTTGCCGCCGATGCCTTGTCGTGAGTGCTCACGACGATGCGGCTGAACGGGAGGGAGGAGCCCGCGCACGATGGGTGCGCGAGATGCTCCTCTGCCAAAAGCAAGCTCGCGAGGAGCCTGTCGATGCCACCGTTGCCGAAGTCCGAGACGAGGAGGGAGAGAGAGGTGTTTGCGTTCGCGCTGAGCATCTTCTGCGGGTATGCGTTCCGCGCGGCTCGCGGGCAGCCGGGCCTCGGCCACTCCTGCAGATAGACAGCTCCGTGGACGAGTATGGCCGTGTCGGCGATGTCGCGCGGGAGGGTCAGCGTCGCGGCGAGGTTGGAAATGAGAGGCGTGGTTTTGTAGCCGTACACCTGCGCCGCCACGTCCATGCTGGCATTGTTGTCCCGAAAGATAACCTCGGACAGTTCCACGTCGAAGGGGCGAAGAAAATTTTAAACGGAATACGTCCATTTTTGGAGCTTGGAATACGGCGTATTCCATGGAATACGTGGAATACGGGTGGAATACGGGTGGAATACAGGCCTCTGGGAGGTCATTTGGAATACGTGGAAAACGTATTCACACAGTAGGGTTCGGGCTCCTTGCTGCGGGAGGGAAGCTTGGCGCGCGCGACTGCTGGCCAGGAGCCCTCCTCGTCTTCCTCGACGAGCCCACCTCCGGGCTCTCGCCGCCGGCGCCAAAGACAGATGATGTTCGGCAAACGGCTGAGCCTTAACCCGACGTTGTACAGTTCGCCACCGCCGCAGACGCCGAGCGGCAAGCGCAAGGGTCAGCTCCCGAATGACGCGTTCTGCCACGTCTGCATCGCCGAGTGCGGACTGTACGCCTGGCTCGACCAGAAGCGCGACAAGTCGAGCATCCCGCAAGGCTACCCGTTCTCGGACATGCCCTTTGGCTGCGGCGGCTGCGGCGGCTGTGATCGCTGCCTCCCTGCGCTGGCTTGCGATGGCAGCCGCGTTGTTCAGGTCAAGCTCGGTCGACATCTGAATGTGTATCCGGTCCACCTGCCGTGCTTTGTGCGCCGCTGCCTCATCGTCGACCTCGCGCCCTCGGGCCAGGGCAGTTGCCATATCGACGAGAAGCCCATCGAGAAGGGCGAGCCGCGGCTGGTCGTCGTCGTGCCCAAGCACAATGGCGAGGCGGACAGCAAGGTGCTGTTGCGAATGCGGAGCGCCAAGTCCTTCCTGGACACGCTGCGACGAGAGCCTGCGCTTTCGGGATTCGACGCGAGCTCGCTGCAGGGCATGGCGCAGCTGCCGCCTGCCGCCCGCCAGTGGTCGCTCGGCGTTCTCAATGGCGATGGCGGAGCACTTGGCAGCTTTCCCGCCCATTCGGGCGCCGTGCCGAAGTACGCGTTCAAGGACAGCTTCCCAGAGAACTACAAGATGGAGTGCAAGGACTGCAAGAGGAAGAGAGGGTCGTGAAGGGCCATTGCCAAAAAGCAGACGACCCGCCGAGACGCACCAAGTACCGATCTGGCACCCGGCAAAAACACGCTGCTATCTAGATACGTGCTACGAAAAAATCGGTGTCTTTTTGTATATACACCCTGGGGCCATGTGTTTGTTTACTGAACTGTGAGGGTACTCAATACTATCCGCGCGCCACAGGGCTCCGACGTCAGCGCCCGCGCGCGGCTCGCCGCGCCGCTAGATAATGCCTATGGCCTGTATGTCGCTATGGCCTATGCGCACTCCGCTCCACTCGACGCTGTCACTGCACACTGGACAAACCGTGCACCCGCCACGCCCCCGCTACTTGAACTGCGGCCCGTCAATCGGGCGTGGCGCGACCGGCCGCATATAAACGAATAGCGAGCCGCCGTCCTCCTCGACGATGCGCATGTCGCCGTCGTGGTAGACGAGCTTGACGGCGCACGTGGGCGCCAGGCCCTTGTTCCACGGCAGCAACTTCCAGACAGCACCCACCGGCACCCTCAGGTTCCAGATCTGCTCGGCGATCCATTTACCCGCGCCGCCGGGCAGCGGGCGGAGCCCGCTCAGCCCTGGCACGGGGCGGGAGGTCGTGTAGTCGACTTCCATCGCGAGGCGGTCGCCCTGCAGCTCGACCTTGCTCGCCGTGATGACGCAGCCTACGGGGAGGGCCTGGAAAGGTGCAGGGAAGGGCCCTCGCGCTCGAGCCAGGATCGCCGCGACCGCCTCCAAACGTGGGCAGCAGCTTCCAGAAGCCAATCACCTGCCCGTGAGGAGGCGGAGTGAGGAGGCGGGAGAGGGAGGCGGCGACTTCCGGGTGTCGCAGGCCGGGATCGTCGTCAGCGAGAGGAGGTTCGTGTCGAACTCGGAGTACAGGTAACCCTTGCTCGAGTCGATGAGCTGCGCGACGCGGCCAATCTTAGAGATGCCCCACGAGCAGGTCTGCAGCTCGTGCAGCTTGAAGAAGAGCTCCGCCTTGTCGGGCTCGCCGTCGCGCGCATACGCCTCGCGAATCGCCAGGAAGAATGGGCTGGAGCGGAAGATCCCGTGCGCAACCGACGTGAACACGAGCTCCCACTCGCCGTCGAGCTCCGAGAGCGCCGTGGGCAGCGGCGGGCTGGAGGCGACGAGCTGCTGGAGCAGCCCGTCCATGATCTCCATGCGCTCCGCGTACGCGCCCGAGCTGGTCGGGTTGTAGGCCTGACCGCGGTCCAGCGCCGCCGCAAGCTGCATGATCTGCATCTTGAGCTCTGTGTTGGTGGCTGCGGCCACGAGCGGTGCCGGGGCGGCGGCAACCGCCATGCGTGGCGTGTCCGGGCGTTGTCCGGGCGACAGCGCATCGTGGCGAGGAGCGTACGAGGCGCGATGGGTGTGCGTGATAGCCGGCGCGAGGCTCAGGGCGGTCGCAGCAGCTAGCAAAAATGGCATTGGGCTTGAACGATATCGGTGTCGAAAGACCTCCACAGCGCTCAACAGCTACGCGGGGCCCAGCGAGCTCCGACTCCAGTCCTCGGTGATACCCTGGCGAGGTACTCGACAACTTCCAGCCTGCTGTGAAAACAGCTGACGCAGTCTCGCCGAGGCTCGCCCCAGCTCTCGGGTTCCCTCGCCCCCCCGGGCAAGGGGGGACCCCGTGAGGCGTGGGAGTGCCTCGCCAGGTGATACCCCAACAGAAAACACATCGACAGCCCGCGGGCAGATTTTGTATACCGAGCCGGTGGCCGGTGCCGAGCGCAGGCGGTGCCCGCAGCGCGCAGGTCGGACCTTAAGACAGCATTGTAGATCCCTGGGCGAGGGTGGTGTGGAGAGGGCGGTCCTCCGTCGGCGCCAAACCGCATTTTGTATCCAAACAATGGTTAGGGCGAGCGAGCGAGGCGCCGGGGCGCCCGAGGCGCGAGGCGCCGAGGCCGAGGCTCGAGGCACACGAGGCTCGAGGGCCGAGCGCGAGGGCGAGGCGGCGGGGGGCCGGCCCCGCGGGCGCGGCGCCCACACGCCCCATTCCCTGACTTGGCAAGGTAACGGGAATGATCAGCGAGAATGGCGAGGCTCGGAATGCGTTCTTAGAACGTGAGCCTGTGTGTGTGCCAGTCCGCGCCAGTCTGCGCCCTTGTCGTGCCAGTGTGCTGTGAGAGAGGCTTGTATCTTAAGAATTCTTAGAACGTTCAGAACACCGGCCACTGGGGGCCCGCCTGAGGCGCTGAGACCCGAAGCCTCTCTCTGTAACTCTCTCTAGCAGCAGACAGGCACAGGGACCCAGTGACGCGGCTCATCAGTCCTCCCTCATCCTCTTCAAAGCCGACAATGGCTTCGTTCGCCGCCTTTTTCTCCGCCGTGCGGTACGCCTTGAGTGCCCGGTTCAGGTTCTGCTTGCCGCAGTTGTCGTACCTTTACAGCTCCACGAGCTCGGCCCAGCGCGTATCAATGAAGCCGTCGTCATTCTGGTCCTCTCCAATTTTGCCTGGGTGAGGTAGCACAGCGACGTCTCCGCCGCGGCCAGCTCATTGCGCCGCTTCTTCCCGAGGGCCGCTCAGCGGGGTCGGCGAAGCGCATGCCAATCACCTCCTTGATCTCGAAGCAGTATGTCGGCACGACCGCGTCGTCTCCTCCGCCGTGCACATGTACTGGCAGAACGTGTTACATGTACTAGTCCGAACGGACCCCACCAGCGGTTGCCGTTCCTGCCATCTCGTGCGCCGGCAACGTGGTGGCGCAATGGGTGGTGAAAAATCGCACGCGCTGCCCGCGCGGCAGAGAGGAGAGAGCTAGGCACAGAGAGACCCCAGAGCAGTCCGAGCGTCGCCGACTCCTCTACTCTCTCTACTCACTCTGTTGAGCCGATCTGTGAGGAAACCTGAGGTGAACCCCCCCCCGCCCCCCCTCGCACGGTGTTGACGTCACCCTTCACAGCGCGGTGGCTCGCGGTGATGAGAGCACGACGGCGAGAGTAGTACAGTACAGATGTAAAGTATACCGCGCGGAACCACGAGCCGCTCATCCGTCCCCATCCTCGTCTTCGAACGACAGTTTGCTCGCCTGCGCCTTGCGCTTCTGCTTCTTGCGCTCTTTGCGCTCCGCAGCCTCAGCCGCTCGCTTAAGCTCGAGCGCCGCGGCGGCCGCCTCTTCGCGCTGTGCGTGCGCCGCCTCCACCTCCTCCTTCTTCTGACGGAAGTCTGCGGCGGAGACGAGACCATATGTGGCCTGCGCCAGGTCGCGCTCTAGCTCACCGTCCGTCGAGGTGAAGCGCTCATCGCCTCGCAGCAGCGACGAGGTCCAAACGCCCGCATCGTGCGTCCCAGCGGCGCGTTCCTTGAGCGATGCGCGTTCGCGCTTCATCTCGGCACGCGCCTCCTTCACCTCCGCAGCCAGCCTCCGTCGCTCCTCCTCGTGCGCCTGCACCGCCTCGAACGACTCCGCGTGCAGGTGGCCGCCGCCAAACCCGCCGACATACTCGTTCTTTTCGCCACCCTTTGCGTACAGGGCCTGGAGCTTTGCCTCTAGCGCCTCGAGCCGCGCTTTGGCCGCCATTCCCCTGGCGCGCGTTCCAGTCCGCGGCACCGGGGCGTCATTTTTGTTTTTTTATTCTTGGTCGGCCCCTTTTGGGAGGCAAACCCTGGCCGGCCCCCAGAACCCCAGGTAAGGCCCAGGTGTGGCCTAGGGCATCAGAAGGGACCAAGAGGAGTCCAGTCTGAGCCATAGAGCCCATGCATGTCTTTGTTTGCTAGGGTGCCCACAGGGCTAGGGTGCCCACAGGACCCAAAAGAAAATAGCTTTGCGACTCAAAAAGGGACGCACGAGGCAAATCCGATGTTGGCCAGTTCCAATAGGAGCGAGGCCTCTTCCGTTGGGGGACCGAGTTCAATAGGAAACGAGGGTTTCCCATTGTGACCCGCTCCAGCGCGAGCGTGACACTGCACTTGGCGCCGAGCGCCCGCGGCACAGACCTTGTGCAGGCCGACCCTCATTGAGTGCACCGGTCCGGACCGATGGCGCTCGGTGTGGAGCAAGCAAGACCCCCCCCCCCCATCGGCGCGCGCTCGCCATTCCAACGGCCGCCAGGAGCACCAAGAGGACTCCTCATGGCTGCACTCAAGTGGGCTTCGACCGGCCTCGGCTGGGGGGGCGGGTTGTCCCGGCTGCGGACGCCTTCTGCAGCCCCCTGGGCGTGGGTCAGCACCCCAAAACTGCCCCTCGGCGGCATACAGCACTGCCAGCCAGCCTCTTCCTCCTCCTAAGGGCTGTACTATAGGCCATATTGCGCCGCCTCCTACTGGCAGCCGGGCGGGCGCGCGCCGCGCGCGCCTCGGCGCGCGCACGGCTCGCAAAGTTCGAACGAGTACTGCCGCCCGGCCGCCTCAAGGCTGCCGGGCGGCAGTACTCGCCTCGCAAGGCGCGCACCGGCTGATCTGGCTGCTGCGCCGGCGGCCGCTGCGCTGGCCGCTGCTGCGCCGGCTGGCGGGCGGCACGGCCGCCGGCGGCCGCTGCACCCGCGCCTTCCCTCGCGGGCGCCGTCGCGCCGCGCGCGCCCAACTCTCTCCTGGTACACGGCACGCGTCGTCACACAGCCGCGGAGAATAGGCGGTGCAGCGCGCGAAGCGCGCGCGATCTCGTACTTTTAAGGCTGGATCCGGCCATTCCAAGGGTATCCCTTTGAGAATCCCCAGCGTCCCACCCTCCTAGTCACACTCTCAATTTCTCGACTGGCCAACACGAAGTGCTGCGATCGGGGGTGGCCCATTTCTTTTTTCCTTAAGGCGAACTTGTCTCCAACGGAGCCGGGGTTGCCTCCGGGGGTGGAGACTTTGGCGACGTGGCGGGTGCAGGCGGCAACGTGGGCGGTGCGTCGTTGAGGTAGACGGTACCGGGGGATAGCACTGGTGGCGGTGGCGGCGGCAGTGTGGGCGGTGGGGCGGCGGTGCCGGCGGCTCGGAGGCTTGGGTCGTGTCCGTCCTCCAGGCAGCGCAGAACCAGGCCGGCCTCGAGCTGTTCCTCCTCGGACTCGGCGGTGATGAGCGCCCTGGTTGCCTCGTCGACGGAGGTGGGCACCGTGGGCACCGCCCGTTTCCGGCGGGTGTCTGCCACGTCGGGAGCAGCACAGCAGCTGTCGTAGTAGAGGCGAGGCTCCTTCGAACCCCGTCGTGCGTCGTTTGGCCCGCCGTGGCGACTGTCGTTGTTGCCTGACTCTGATTCGTCGTCGGAGCGGTCGGACCGGGTGCGGGTGTTGGCGGTTCCAGGCGTGGCGTAGATGGTAACGCTGAAGATATGCCACGGGCCTGGAAAAGCGCCGCCCTGCGCGGGCATGTACTCGGGGCGTGCGAGGGCGCCTGCCTGCGTAGGCGAGGCTGCCGTCGCGACGTAATCGATGTGGGCGCCGGCGCTGTCGAGTTGCAGTCGGGCGAGGGGTTGGGCGACTGCGCGGGTGGTGGCGGCGCTCGGCGTGGGCGCGGCGGTGGCGAGGGCGAGGCCCGTGAAGGCGCCTCCGTAGAAGTTGCAACCGAAGCGCGGCGCACATCCTCCCGGCGAGATCTTTCGTTTCTTGGGAGGGAGTGTGCAGTCGCCGTCGGAGGAGGAGTCGGCCGCCGAGGTCGGGCCGTTGTCGGAGCTGCAGCTGGGGCCGGCGGTACCGTGCGCGGGAGTTGGGCTCGGGTTGGCTGGCGGGGGCGCGGTGTCAGCGGAGGGAGGCGCGGTGGGGGGCGTGGCTGCGGCTGCGGTGGCGGCTGCGGCGGCGGTGGCGGTGGCGTCGGCGGTGGCGGTACCGAGGGCACCGGGCGTGAGGAGGGTGGGGTTGGCGGCCGCCGCTTCGGTCGCTGGCACGGGATCGCCGTTGAAGGGGTACCAGTGGTCAAGTGCAACCGGGAAGCCGGCAGGGAGCGGCACGTGTAGGTTGATGTGTTGAAGCGCTGCCGGGACGCCCCCATTGTCTTCACCGTACTTTTTGTGGATCGCTCCGCTGCCGCCGATTGCCCCATGTGCAGCGCAGAGATCCCAGCAGCTGAAGATGCCGCGTCCGAGTCGAGGGATATAAAGAGCATAGACGGGCGGCTCCTTCTTCTTCTTCCCGTTGCCGGCGGCCCAGACCCCAGGTAGTAACGCGGCGAGGGTGATGGCTGGTCTGGAGCTGAAGGCGGCGACGCAGAGTTGAGCGGTGTACGGGTTGACGATGATGTGAGATATGTCGTAAAGAATGTCGTAAGAGATGACGGTCTCGGGACGGAACAGATCGAGGGCGTGTTGGCAGGACGACAGGTTAGGGCCGCCACGAGGGACGACCTCGCATCCTTTGGGATCATCGGCGTCCTCACCCGCAGGCACATGACCCCCTGTGTCCTGGTTGAGGGGCGTCCACGAGATGATGGTAGTCCAGTTGGCGGCGGTGGTGGTGTTGGCTGCGCGGTCACAAGGTTGCTGCGCAGCACAAGGCGGCTGGTCCAAAAGGAGAGGTGGGAGCTCTGAGGCTCTGGGCGATGGCTCAGGCGATGGCTCAGGCGAGGGCTCAGGCGAGGGCTCAGGCGAGGGCTCAGGCGAGGGCTCAGGCGAGGGCTCAGGCGAGGGCTCTGGCGAGCCAGCGCGCGAGTCGGGTTTCGAACTGGAGGCCAGTCGACTGCCGTCGGGCTCTTGAGCGGCTGCGCCACTGGCAGAGGGCAAAACTGGTCGAGTCGCATTTGTCTGGTATTTGTCGGACAAACGCTGCACTGGTTGAAGGCAAGCGAGATGAGGAGCGCGACTTGGCTCATCAGCAAGGCACTGCGAAGCTGGACGGGACGGGCGGTGAGGCGGTGCGAATGTGGGTCCATTCGGGTCGACCGCGGCCGCCAAGGCTGCGAGCAGCCAAGGCAGCGCCATATGCGGCGGAACTTTTACTCTCCCAGTACGTACTTCCTCGATCGCCGTGCTAAGCTCGCTTCCGAGCTCTCACGCCGCGCGTAGGGCCCCTAGGGGCCTAGAGAGCACAACCCCCTCTCTCTTTTCTCCCAGTAAGCTAAAAGTACGTACGTACAAGCAGAGAAGGCCGAACTCGTCCGTCCCACCTCCCGACTGATCAGATGGCCATGTCGAAGGCGCCTTCCAGCACCGACGATGGCGAATCCCTGAGGCGCAGGTCGTCGAGCACCGCGCACTCGGCCGGCGACGCCGGCGCCGACGAGCCGCCCGCCCGCCGCACAAAGGCCCCTCGGAGGCAGAGCCTGCTGCGGGTGACGAGCACGAGTGCGGCCAATGCCGGCGGCGGCGGGCCGTACCTGCCCCGCATCAGCATCCGCATGGACCGCGAGGCGGTCGCGACCGAGGATCCGGACGACGGGCTGGAGGATATGAAGGAGGTGCGGCTGAGCGACGCCTCTCCTCCTCGCCGCTCGCTCAACATCGTGATCCAGCGGCGGCCGCTGATGCAAGACAGTGTCACCACCACCACGGTCAGCATCGACGTGCGGCGGCTGCTCAAGTGGCTGGTGGCCTGCTCGATGGGGACCGCCCTCCTCTCCGCCGTCCGGTCCAACCTCCACGTCACGCCCTCGACGGAGGAGCTCCGACGCCAGCACGGGCGAGAACTGGGAGGCGCGCGACGGTCCGACACGCCGTCGCCAGCAGAGGCGGGGGCGTGCGCGCCGTGGTGCGGTGTGTGGACGTGCGGCCTCGAAGTGTGCAAGGACTGCAGCGTGTGCACCCGCGGCGACGACCAGCAGCAGTGGAGGGGGCGGGGCGTGCACCTCCTCCCGGGTGCCCCTGACAATGGCCACCCTCTGCCTGAGTCGACGGCGCAGCAAGAAGGCGTCACGCCGGACGCCTCGGGGCCGTACCCGATGCTCAGCGGACCGCGCGACCGCGCCAAGCACGCGCGAGACGAGTGCTGCACGACTCCCGAGCGCGACACCTGCCGGCGCTGCACTCCGCGCGAGCTCAGCAGCGCGTCGCTCCGCGCGAGCATCTCGTGGCACCGGCATCTGCTGCTGCCGGAGGGCTGGCCCAACGACGCGCCCCCGCTCGAGTCGCTCGGCGACCGGCTCCCCTACAGCCGCACCTTCGTCCCCACGCAGCGGTCAGCCTCCGAGGCGCTGCTCGACGGCACGGCGATGCGCCGGCTCGCGGGCAAGTGGATGGCTGCGCCGCACCAACGGCTGATGTTTTGCCCGATGGAGAAGAATGGGGCGACAGAGTGGATCCGCCTCTTTGGCGCCATCAACGGGAAGGCGCGCGCCGCCGCAAATGAGGGGATCGCCTGGTCGCAGATGGTGCACGACAGCACCGAGAAGCAGCTGCCGTCACTGCACGCCTTCGACTACGAGCAGCGCGCTGCGATGTTCAACGCGCCTTCGGTGGTCAAGTTTGTGGTCATCCGCGACCCGCTTGAGCGGCTGCTCTCCGCCTACCTCGACAAGTGCGCCTTCCAGCACACGCGCGGGCCGCCCGACGACGAGGAGTTGCTCTTGATGAGCCACTGCCCGGGCTTCTACCACTCGAACCACGAGCAGAAGACGCCGCGCGAGATGCGGCGCGGCGACGTGACGCCGCTGGTGCCAACCTTTGACGCCTTTGTTGGAAACCTCACC